GTACAAGTTATTATACGAAGAACGAGGCTTGCGTGATACATTTCATTTAATTAATTTTTTTATATTCAGCGAAAAACTATTTTTTTTTTTTTTTACTACTTTATATTAACAATATATTGTATAGTTTCGTTATGTAATATTATTATGGCCTTATTTATCACGCACTCTACATAAATATTATTTTTCTAATGTTTTCCTACATCTTGTGCATATATTGAAGTAATGACATTAAAATACGCAGTTTTGTAGGAGAAGATTGAACTATGACCTGCTAAACGGAAACAGCGATGCTCATAATTTCAAACAGAAATGTAAAATTGCGTTATTCCCCTGTATAGCACGGCGATTTCACCTTTACCAACTTTATACTGACTCTATACTGAAATTACATACACACGCGCGCGCGCGCGCGAGCACACACACACACACACACACACGCACACACACGCATACACAAGCACGCACGCACGCATCCCCCCTCCCACACACACACACACACACACACACACACACATATATATATATATATATACATATATGTATACATCTATACATATATACTTATGAAAGATCTCTCTTTCGATAACCTCCACTATATTAGGTGTTCACATTGAATTTGCCTCTTGAGTTAACTTCGTACACGTCTTCATAAACTTGGGATTATATTTTGTGCAGATTCCAACATTCATCTTTCGCGGACTTTCTAATCTCGTGGCTCTCGAGGAATCGTGTCTTATAAGCAGCAATTTAATATGTTTGGTCATCGAGATTTGTGATTTTCAAGGGAACATAAGCTCGGTAATAATAGAATCGACGCACATGTCACTCGATTCGATTATTCTATTAGTACGAACCGGTTTGACGCGAACAATGAATAGCCGGTTAATAATATTTTAATAAATCAGGATTGCACGCGAAGATTTACAATGAGGAATGAGTACGTTATCCCGACCCGCGTAATTTTCAAATTCTAACTCGTAAAGCTTATGAGACTATAGAACGTAATGCCCTCGCTCGCCTTCGCCTCTCTATTTAACCTGCGTATATTTGAAAATTTCATTCGTAATTTAATTGTGCGTTTAGTCGATTGTCAATAAAATCTTGATGCATTTGACTAGCACGAAAATAGAAAAATATGAATACCGATTGTCAAATATTGCCGTTCAAGCGATAGTTAATAACTATTAAACATGTATCCTAGTGAAAGTTCGAAATATACGTGTCGAAGTAGTCGCTCGTAATGAAGCTTTCCAATGAGCGGATAAATAATGTTCGAGCTGATTTGATTAAATAATTTTTATGCTCAATATTTAATCTACGAGTACATTAACGACTATCAATAATAGCAACGCTGCTCGCGTATGCTAATTGGCACTTCTTCGCTTACCGACACTGGAGATTATTGCGAAATATTCCAATCGGCACAGCCCCGTCTCGATTTACGAAGACAAAGTACCCGATGAGATTAAAATATTGCAAATGTACAATCTTCCTTCGAAAAGTAGGAAAAACTTGACAAGCGGCAGCCGCGCCATTAATCACGAGCGTATCGATGCATCACACCTCGGAAGCTAACGACCAAGTCAACGTAGTCGCGCATCGAGTACGCGAAACGCGTGGTTGACACGATAATTATAATTTAGCCTCTGCGCGCCGAGAGATCATTGGACATTGAGTCGCCCGGTAGCCCCATTCGCTCGGCAAACGCATCGCCATCGAGGCTGTAAAACGAGGGGCGCGGGATAGTGGCGCATTTATATGTTGGAAGAGTTTGGCGACGGGCGGTAGTTTTTTAGTGGGAGGGAGGGAGGGAGAGGATCGACATTCACGTCGTGGCAAAAAAAGAAAGACAGCTTCACCTCCGCAAAGCGCAATTACGCGGACAGTTATGCGCGCGGCAGTCGAGCAGCCCATGGACAACACAAAGCCCCATCGGCAATCAAAAGTACCAACAGCAGCAGCAAAATCAGCAGCACCAGCAAAAGCAACAAAAGCAGCAAAGCAGGAACTTCCCCTCTGAAAAGTGCTCTATTCCGCGAGGAGCAGTCGACGGATCGGACGAGAGCAGAAATAAAGGAGCTATCGTTTGTTATCTGCCGGGTCCATTGTGTCTTCTCTCGCGGACGAAGAGGCTGAATAAAAAATGAGCATCATCAACGGCTGCTGTTATTACGAGTCTTCGATAAAAATCTACACGGAGGCTCTTCGCCTGCCAACTTCCCCCCTCCAGCGCGCTTCTTCTTTCACTGCCTCGTGGCCAATCATCTGGCAGCTTCGTACCATTGTCTATGTCTCTCTCTCTCTCTCTCTCTCTCTCTCTCTCTCTCTCTTTATGATGCGCGCGCGCTCTTGCCCCGGCAGATGACTCCTCCGCACTACGTCTCTCCTTGTAAAATGAGACTTACGAGCTTCAGGGCCGTCCGTGGTCGGTGGCTCATTGATGAAGCAGCAGCAGCAGCAGCAGCAGCAGCAGCAGCATCGTCGAGACGTCATTCTTAAAAATATCAACCAACTTCTCGTTATAAATATCAAAATTAATTAATATTTTTCATACGAGCATTTATTAAAAAGATATTCTCAAGGGTTATTGGGGTAAGCCTGTCATCCACGAACCTGCATTTATTAAAAGCAATCAAAATCATTAAGAGTCCTTGAACTCGAAAATTTCAATCTCAACATTCCTTTAATCTTCGTTTCTCATAATATTCATTTGTATCAGTCGCTTTAATAACTCGAAAACTCACGGGCACCTCAAATTACTGCCCGAGAAATTGAGATTGATTTTGAATTCGTTTCGCGCATTTTTTTTTTTATCTTGATAATTAAATTATCGTTATCAACAAATTCACTGTAAAATGTTAATTAGCCGTTATGAATTGAATAAAAGTTTCGCGTCGTCTTGGTGGGGAGAGCCTCGAGACCGTCCTTGACGTCGTCCCCGCATGCCTCGCTCATTCTTCTAACTAGATGTTTCGACTAGATTACCCTTTTTATCGCTTTATCTGCATCCACTCTGTCCATTTCGCGTTTTTTTTTTCTCGCGCAAGGCAGCCATCGGGAGACCAGTGAGATTGGTACTTAGTGTATTACAGATGATAAAATAGATTTATCGAGTGCTTTATTTTGCTTTATTTTTACTTTCTCAGCATTTTCAAATGCTCGGTTATTTAATAAAGGTCTCGAGGTCTCGGGATGATATTCATTATCAATTTTTATTTAAGAGCTTGATATTATTAGGGCGTCGCGCACTCGCATTGTAATAGAAATTCGTATCATTACTACTTTTTCTTTCTATTATGTAAGACTCCGTTTTGATAGGGATTAGAGTAAAGAAGAATCTTTGATCGTTAAACTTTCGATGTATTAATGTTTCCCAAAGGCCGTTTATGAAAGTAATTGAGAGTAATATCTTAATTAATCAATGCTGCGACATGCGAATCTTGATGTACATACGTTGCAATTGTGGTCGATGTACGGTACTATGCTACGCGCGACAATGTATTTAGTTATTAATTAATGTACGAATTTTATTGCAAATTATCATTATTAAACGGCAAGTCGTTATAGCTCATCAAAAACACAATTTTTTTATGTACACGTATTAGAGGAAACTAAAATTTTCATAATCAAATTAAAGTATAATTAAATGAAGCATGAGAAAAGAATATTTTAACAAAGTGATTGTAAAACTAAGGCTTTGATAAATTTTTATTACGATATCCTTCTCTGCTTTTCATTTAATTTCACCGAGGTGTCAAGCAAGATACTACAAAGTGAAGAATTTTGGTTGGCAGTCATGAGTTTGCAATTTCACACTTCATAGACTATCCAGACGTAAAGTTACAATTTTTCATGCTAAATGTAATTTTTGTCAAGTAAGTTTATCTAACGAATTATAATGGTAAATGGTAAATTCATTCAACGAAGAAAATGAGAATAATTCCTTACACATCTTTATTATTTGAAATGCGTATTGCAAATCAATTTTATCTCGTTTTCTTTTTAGTTTATTCTTTGAACTTACTTTTAAATAAATCAACTTTTGAATAGAAATTATTTTTTCTTCCAGTAGCCTTCTAACGAACAAATACAAATTAAATGTTATAATTTGATAGCTATTTTTTGCTCGTACGATATGGGTATAAAATTTCTACTATAAATCAAATCCTTTTAGATATCTGTAAATGTATTAAATTGAAAAATACCCAATCTGCCGGATTAACTAGGTTTTTACTAAGAAGGCAAAAGGCCTAATGAACTCAGGATTCAAATGAAAAAAAAAAAAAAAAAAAAAAATAGGTACTTGACCGTGAATCTCGTTACATCCCACTGGATAAAATCCGCGACATATCTCATTTCGCATTTTATAAAGTAATAGAAATCTCGTTAGATTATATTTAACACCTTCTGAAAAGCTCGTAATTCAAAAGTGCATGCAATCATGTATAACTGATTATTTAATAATAAGAATAATATTTCTAATAAATGTAAATGATTAACGAAATTTTATAAACATAGGCAATCTCCAATTTCATCAACGAATATATTATTAACTCAATTAATTTGGGCATTTGTTTGTTTTCAAAAATTCGAATTATTCCGTAAAGCCTTTCGTCAAGCCGTAGATTTCATCAAATACGTAGACATTATCACTGCCGTAACAATGATTTTATTGATTTCCATAGACTTATTATTTCGATAAATGGAAAATTCAGATTATCCGTAAAGCCTTTAATTCATTAAAAGAATCGATTATCAAGTAAATAAAAGAAGCAGCGAATAAAGCTTATTTCAAAATGTGAGAGACGCTCGATTAAACGTAATCGCCACTGACATTGCATCCGAATTTGAATACAATCCCAAATTGATAGTAAAATAGATATTTAAATATCTCTCCGCTGTATGCTAAAATCACAGGCAAAACAAAATTTGTTTCAATCACAAGAAACAACGAAGTATCGAAGTTTGTCTCCCTATGGCGACGCACACATGCAAACAAG